ATGGTCCGGACATGGTCTCAGGGTGACTACCAAAGGCTCATGGCTGGAAGCTTGGTCCCACACTTCCCCAGAGGAGTATGGTGCTCTGGGAGCTGGCGGGGCCTCTCAGAAGTGTGGCCTAGTGGGAGGTGACGAAGTCACAGGGGACACACTCTCAGAGGGGTGAGTGCAGACCTCCTGGGGCCCAAGTGAGATATTCGGAGAAAAATTGTGTTGAAAAGAGCAAGATGGGCCCCTCCTGATCTCTGGCTTCCTTTCTCATCCTGTCTTTTCTGCTCAAGGGCTGCCTGGTTTTAGGCGTTCAGCTGCCAAAGCTGTGAAATAAGTAAACCTCTTTTTTTCCTTTTTTTGTAGTACTGGGGATTGAACCCAGGACCTCGTGCATGTTAGGTAAATGCTCTCATTGAGCTACATCCTGTCCCCCACCCCCATTTTTAAAAATGTATTTTATTTTAAGTTCTCACCTAAGTTGCCCAGGCTGGCCTCAACCTGCACTCCTCCCAACACAAGCCAGACTTCAAACCTAGGTAGGATTACAAGTGTGTACTACCACTAGGGGTATGTCTTCCCTTTTTAAAGTATCCAACTTCAGGCATTTTGTTATAGCATCAGAAAGTAGACTAAGACAGCCATACATTTCACGATTAAATGCAGACTAAGGGTATTACACTCTGGCAAAGGAGGAGGTGTGTCTTTCTCTCTCACATAGATGGCCTACTACACATTGCTGGACTCCATTCATGTGTTGAGGGTCTCCATGGTGGGAATGCAGAGCTGGCAACACAGGACTCCTTGCAGCAGGGTGAGCAAGGAGGGGACAATCCAGAGCCAGGAGGGATCACAGTGGTTCTTACCGGGGCAGGCTGAGTGCACACGAGAAGTTTCCATGCCCTTTGGGGCATCTTGCTGGGCATCCCAAGGCATGTCTTGCTAGAGAGCTGGTGTCTTTGCCAGGGCACAGGTGAGTTGCCCCATGAAGGGGACCCTGACTGATGACCTTTCTCCTGTCTCCAGCCCACCTCAGGAGGCACATTTACTCTGTCATTTGCAGGACTAAATTTTCTGCTCCTTTAGCCTCTGCCCACACCACAGGGCACGTAGGCACCTGCAAGACTTCTCCAGAAAAAGCCATTTTCTGCATTCTCTTGGACAGGACACATCAAAATAAATGATTTTTCCTTCTTTTCAAATTAGTGGAAATAAAAATTCACAGGATGGTTAGCTTTAGAGGGATCCCTGTGTGATCTGTCAACCAGCAGAGAATGGATACTTTTTCCTGTCTTTGCAGCCTTGTCTCCTTTTGAATGATTCCCAGAATTCTGTCAGCTCAGGCTGTCCTGGAAATCTCTTCTCTCTTCCCCAAATGCTGAGGCTGCCATGACCTCGGCAGATGCTTTCTCCCTGCTGGGCATCCTTGGCTCTCCGCCCTCCTGGCCTGGCCCTCTTCCTGCTGTTGCCATCCTTCACACTCACCTTCCTCCTCCCGAGGGCCTCAGTTCTTCGCAGCGTCTGCTCCTGATCTGGGCTGCATTCAGGCTCCTGCCACAAGTTCCAGAAATTCTCATGTCCCCACGTGTCTGTCTGAATGCAATGGCTCTTGCTTCCTCCAGGATGCTCTGCAAGGCCTCAGGTGTCCCCTGAGAGCAGAGGAACACACTCCCATCTTGGGCTGTGACCGTGAGTCCTGGGGATGCTGGCCTCGGCATGGAGAAGGAAGAGACCCATTTCACAGCCCAGGCCAGCAGATCCCAAGGAGCATCTGCAAGCCCCCTTTCCACGGTCATCAGCAAAGTTGAGGTCAGAGGAGAAATCACGGCGAGCAGGATTGCATTCTGTAAGTCCCTTTGTGGTTAGACCACTCAGAGCCCTTGCTCCCCCAGAGTGCCAGTCTCCAGGGGTAGGATAGCAAGGAGCCCTTCCCAGTTCATCCCACCCTGGAGATTTTCTCAGGAAACTTTAGGACCTCTGTTTGGAGAACATACTCTAACCTCATCTTTGTTGGTAAGTGGAGATGCTGGCTCAGAGAGGGAAAGTGTCTTTCTTGAGGTCACACAGTTTGCTGGTGGCAGAACCTGAGCTTGACTCGGAGAGCCTCATTCGAAGCCAGCTGTTTCCTGGGGCTCCTCATGAGCTGCCCAGGATGACGTCTTCTGCGTCACAGGCTCTTGGGAGGGAGTTTCCTGTGCTGACCCCGTGTTCGTCCTCCACTCTCCACTCCGTCACACACGGAGCAGACTTCACGCGCGACAGAATAGCAGATCGCTCTGCGTGCCTCCTGCCTCTCCCCAAGTCCTTCCCACGAGCAGCCCTGCTCTTCTCCGTCTTTGTCCCTTCATCTGTGTTAATCCCAGACCCTTGCTATGGTGCAGCTGGGCAGCTGCCTTCAGTCCCCTCCTGACTACACCCACCTCCCAGCCTTCTTTGTCTCCTTCAAGCCCTAATTTCCCAGTTTAGTCAGAGTGGCACGCCACACACACAACTCCGACCACGTGGCTCCCTCTGCCCTTGGGAGAAGTGCAGCCTGCTCTGTCTGCAATGAAATCACCAGTGACAAGTCACCCCCCACCACGCACCTACTCATACCGTGTATCATCATCCTGCACTGAAATGACTCTCAGCAGACCTGAGCGCCTAAACACGTCCTCAGCCTCCCGTGGCCCCTGTGCTCTGGAATCATGCCATCCAGCAGGGAATGGTCCCTGTGTACGGTGGTGTCCACGAGCTGATGGAGCCAAGGGAAGGGTGTGTGGCTTTCCCAAGACAAATCTCACTGGTTGAAGCATTCAGCCCAGTGACGGGGACGGTGAAGGTTGCCAGGTCAGCAGAGGCGTGAGCAGCACTGATGCTGGGAAGGAGCTCCAAATGCACAAGCCTTTGCCGGCCACGGCAGGTCTGCAAAGGAGGATGCGTGGAGACGACCTTGCTCCAGTCAGAATCCCACAGAAGACAGAGGCATGACCACAGGGCGCAGGAGAGGGCAGTCAAGCAGGGGAGGAGCCGCAGGGGGCGGTTCTCCATTCCTGCACCCGAAGGGCCAGTGAGGAGGACGGGGATGCGGGCCAGGAGCGGGGTCCCCATCTGGACGATGTTGCAAAATTGCAGCAGCCACCTGGCAGGGAAGGGCCCGGGGAGCAAATGCCCTGCCCTTTCCCCTTCTTCTAGCACCTTCTAAAAGCTGCACCCAACAGGAACCAGAGGGCAGGGGATGGATGAATGCACTTCATAAAGATCAGCCTCAAGGGTGGGCACAGGGCACAGCAGGGTGGGTCAGGACAGTGTTTAACACTCCTAGTCAAATTGCCACTTATGATCAGAAAGGCTCCCCCTTTCAGCCCCCTGAGAGCAGAGAGGAGCCTTCAGCCAAGACAGGCCTCCCAGGGTGCACATTGCACCAGCTAGAAGATAGCAGAATACAGTTAAAAGTAAATCAGGCCAGGGAAGACATCCTGAGCAAACCCAAGAAGGGATTGTGCCTGTTCCTTGCAGATGTTCTACTAAGTGACAGAAAGCACTCAAAGAGATAGTCACATTTCATGTAAAGAGGTCTCCAAAGAGAGGCAAAGTCCCTTGTCCTGGCCTGTAAAGAGAGGATGGACGAGCAGGCAGCAAAGAATTGCGCACATACAATGATTGAGTTGGTGATTTAAATGTTTCAATGTGAAGATTCCTTTCTGCGGCGCTCATTGTTGGAGAGGTCGTGGCAAACAGCTCGCTGTCAGAGGGAATAGAAGTCATTTTGGAAAACAATTTGAATTATACTCAAGGAAATTTATATTCCCATTCCAGTAATGGGCTCCTAGGAATGTATCCTAAGGATAAACCCCAAATAAGAAAAAAGTCATGTGGATTCTAATGAAGATGCTAGTTTCAGCATTATTTACAGGAACAAAAATAGAAACCGATACCCTCCTCCCATGACGTTTTGTGATCAATCACCTCTGCAGGGGTCAGGGGTTGGAGATGAGGTGTCCCACAAAGCTCAGGATTAGGTCATGAGAACCACAACCTGATCAGTGCGGCTTTCCTCCTCCACAGCCTCCCACCAGGCTCTTCTGCCTCACCTGGATGCACAGCAGTGGTGTCAGGTGACCACAGACTGAACCTCTGAAAGGGTGTGCCAAATAAACTTTTCCTCCTCTAAGTTGTTCTTGTCAGGTACTTGGGTCACAGCAACAAAGAGCTGACTAACACAAATTCAGGAGCCTAGGTGGCAACATGGAAAGCAGGTTTTTGGATCTCAAGAAAGAGCACAAAATGCTGTCTATGATGCGGTTATAAAGAGGCAGACGGACCAGTGTGGGAGAACACAGAGACCCAACAACAGCCCCTGTGCCAGGACGGGGCACCCAGGGTGGATTTCTCCTTTGAATCATCTTGTGGGGTGCTGTGCTGTTGGTCCTGTGACACACCCACCAGGCTGGGTGCGGTGTGTGTTTATGTGAAAGCCATCAGAACCCAGATGAAGTCACCATGTCAATCCTGACAGACAGCAGGTAAAGCCGTGAGGGTATAAAGGAGGGGCCCCACACGTGTGCCCGGAAACCAAGACTGCACCAAGGGCTCTGCCAGAGCCACAGCCTTGTACAGAGGCCACCGTGACCTTGCACAGAAAATGCTTCTGTAGGGCCATTTGCCCAGCCACTGCCCGTCCAGCCTCGGATGGATGCCGAATGCTGGCTGTCGATCCTTGTAGCCAAGGGCTGTTGTTTGCAAATATGTGGCCCTTCTCATTTGCCTCCAGCTCTGCCCCTGGCCTCTGCCTCCTCGATTTGCACGCGGTTCACTATGGCACATGGTGTTCCCCTTGCAATGCCCACTCCCTAATAAATACCATATCTTTGGAGAATCTCGCTCCGTTACGATTGGTATCTTTGCAGTAGGAATCTGATATCCAACCACCGTCCTGGCCCCTTCCCGCCGTCGGCCCCTCTACTCAGGAATGGCCCACCCTGGTGTGGGAGTTAGCCACCTCCTTCCCCCATGGGCCTCATCCTGGTTACCTAGCAGCACGCCAGACGGCAGCTGCGCGGAGGGGTCCTTCATCCAGTCGTCGTTGGCCAGCTCGATGACCGCGTCCACTGGCTCCACCTCCCTGCCGATCAGCTCCCTCAGTGAACCCTCATCGTTGGCGTCCAGGGCGGCCTTCAGTCTCCTCACCAAGTCTGAATTGACAGGGTAGTCGGGCAGGTCATCCGAGCTGAACATTGTAATGTCCTTTGTGTGGGGATCTGTCTTTCTTCTCTTCCTCTAATCTCAGGCCAAAGTCAGCAGCTGCCTGGGGAGGGAGTGGTGCGGGGGCTATAAATAGCTGAGGTTCTGTGGCTCCCTTACAGCCAGGGCCACTGGCCCCGGGCAGCTGTGAGGTCGTCTTCCCGGGCGCAGGGAAGAGCTATTCTCGATGGGGGCGGTGGACGTGTCTGTGGTGCTGGGAGAGGAAGAGCCAGCCTTTTCAAAGGAAGCTCTTGGAAGCATTGTTGAATGTCTCCTTTGTCAAAAGTGCGGTTCTATCCGGAAACTTTGGACACTGTCCCCCGGGACGGGCTGGCTCTCTGCTTGTTGAAGAGAACATTTTCTGACTTTCTGTCCCTCACACTCTACTTCATCTAAAAGGACAGTGTGGGCACCGTGACGTGGACGGGCCTTCAACTGAACAGAATGCAAGGGGAACTTGGGTTTCTGAATTCAGAGATGGACTGGCTGGTCTCAAAGAAGGACAAAACCATAGACAGGAACTCTTTCTCAGCTGGGGACAGAAGCACAGACCAGGGGACACAGGAAGCAACCTAACATTAGCTGCCCCCCCACACCAAGGCTGATAAACTTGGCTCAAAGTGACAGTGCCCACCCATGCAGGAGCAAAGCCCTGTCCTGATTTACCTGCACTCCTGGGGAGCGGGCGGGCTATTTTCTCAAGGTGGCCACTGCCTCCTGTACTCCTGGGTGTCCCAGTGTCAATCTGTGCACAACATGGCTGTCCCAGCAGTTTCCTTCTAACTCTAAGTGTGTTGTGGCCTCACCTTATTCTGGATGTTTCTGAGAAGGTGTTTTTTGGATGAGATTAACTTAGACTCAGTGGACTTGGAATAAAGGGTAATGGGTGAAGGCCCAGCCAGGACAGATGGCCCTCCGGGCAGCGAGGAATCTGCCAGCGCACAGCCTTGGAACCCAGTGCAGCTGTCCCCGGGCGGCCTGCCCTGTGGCTTCAGACCTACCAAGTCTCTGCAGTTGGCGAATCAGTCCCTTAAGCTCTCTCATCCCGCTGCTTCTGCTCCTCGGGAAAACTCTCTTCTCCACTCGGCTCCTGCATATGACCTTGTGGAACGTGACCAGCCCGTGGGGGTGACTCACGGTGGTTTAAATCCCGTCTCCACCGCTGGCCACTCGGTGTTCCAGCCTCCCTCACGACGAGGTTCTGCCGTGAGAGCAGGTGTGCTCTGCGCTGGGGTGTCTGGGGAGTCTGGGGTGTCTGTCTGGGGGGTCTGTGGTGTCTGTCTGGGGTGTCTGTTTGGAGTGTCTGTCTGTGGTGTCTGGGGTGTCTGTCTGGGGAGTCTGGGGTGTCTGTCTGGGGGGTCTGGGGAGTCTGGGGTGTCTGTGGTGTCTGGGGTGTCTGTCTGGGGTGCCTGGGGTGTCTGTCTGGGGTGTCTGTTTGGAGTGTCTGTCTGGGGTGTCTGGGGTGTCTGTCTGGGGAGTCTGGGGTGTCGTCTGGGAAGCCCTTTGCTGTCCTGACTGAGCGGGAACATTGCTTCCCTTTTCCTGTCCTTGGACTGGACCCGTAGTCGGAGCTTGGCAGAGGGGAGGCCGAGGAGATGAAGGTCAGCAGGCGGAGGGGCCCGAAGCAGGGAGAAGGGAAGGCTGGCTCCTGAGGCCCTCACCCTCTGCCCGGCGCTGGCTGTGCCCGGGTCCCCGCGTTAGTGCTGGTGCTGTTTGTGTGCTGTGTCCCGGGAGGTGAAGGTTTCCCCGGTAGGTTGTGTGCTCGCTCTGCCTTTGAATCACAGACGGGTCTCAGTTTCTGCCTAAAGAGACTCCGCAAAAATGCAGGCAGAGGTGAGGAACGGCTCCCCATTCTTGGCTGATGGCTACTTCCTGTCTCAGGGCAAAGCCACCAAGGGTTTGCTGCAAGCAGCCAGCCCCAGACCCCAAGTGGGGGAGCCAGGCCTCCTGGGCCCGGCTTGTCACCAGCAAGTCCAGGGTCACTCGGGCAACCGCCTTCAAGCCACATGCACTGAAAACTGGACCCTGTGGGGACGTTGGAATCACTGGAGTCACAGGCACTGGCTGCCACCCAGGAAGCAGACGGGAACTCTTCCTCAGCACAGCCACTGGCCTCGAGTGCCTTCTTTGCCCAAAGAGTTAGGGGTTTTGTTTGCTTTATGCTGGGGATGAAATGGAACCCAGGGTCTCACACACGCCAGACACGTTTCCCCAGCCCAAAGAATTAGGGATTTGAAAGAGTTGTGAGCTTGAATTTCCAAGTGCAAATGCCCTATAAATGCTTTACTTCCAGAAGGAATTTAGCACATTGGTGTCAACTCAGAGAGGGAGGGTGGTGACCACAGGAAAAATGATCTCCATCGGGAGAGGTGATTTAAAAAATCAAATGAGCATTATTAGAGGCTGATATCAAACTTCAAATCAGAAGGGAGGTAAAGATGAAGCACTTGTTAGGCAGATAACAAGATGACAAAGCCTCAAAATCCGGCTCTCTCTGATCTTAATTACCGCGCTATCCGCTGGGTGTTTAATCAGTGGCACATACGCTATGCTAATTATTCTGGCTAATTTTGTTATAATGTAATTCTTTATCAACCCTGCTATGTATAAATTAGGAATTGAAATGTAACGAACACAAATTATATTTAAGGCAACATGAATTTCTTTATTTCAGTATGAAATCTTCTAATCTCTATTTCTTCCTCTTTATTTATTTATTTTTCGATAGCTCGTGTGACCGCTGTTCCCCACCCAACCCCTCTTAGCCTGGACTGTTCCTGAGGAGAAAGGGACCCAGTGGCAAGACTTCCCCCTTCACTTCTTGGAGATCATATATTTGATTTTCTCCTTCAGCAATTGTCCTTGAAGGGTGCAAAATGTGTTTAAGCAATCAATGGCAGACACATCCCGGCTTCTCTGAATCAGATAAAGGTCGTTCATCGTTCTAGTTTAATTTTTAAACAGTCATTATCAGGTGCCATAAGTCATGTATTTTCAGTGACACGCTGTACTGACTCACGTCTTTGTGTTTACAAATGTCCGGGGCGGGGGGCTAGCAGCACAGATCCTCGGGGAGAAGCACGCAGGTTCTAGGGGGAGTTTTTTATGTTATGTCCCATGGTTTGTGTCCAGTGAGATCAGGCTCAGTGGCTAAAATGCTGTGAAAGGCTTGTTTAAAAGGAATTCAGAAGACCCTCCAGCAAAACTGAAAAGCACTGGCTTTTAGTTACGGTGGAGTTTGGTGTAGTTGTTCAGAGCCCCAAAGTGTACCTTCTGTGACTGCTGGACCCGCAGCTTCTTCTCTATCTATCCTTTTGGTTTTGAGCAATTTTACCAGGAGCTGACCGAGCTTGGAGAGTGAGTGGACATGGGTGGAGTCCAGTTACATGTCAGCCCCATGTTAGGATTGAACAGCAGTGAGAGTCAGTTGCCAAAACAGGGTCCTGGCCGGGGAGAAATGGAGAGTCTCAAATGTGCCAACCCTGTGGACCTCAGGTAAGGGACAAGTGTGGTCCATGTACAAATGGACTCAAGTGACCGAGGCCCACTTCTGGGCCCACATCTTCATTGAGCCTGCCATGTTCCCACTCCCTGTGGAGAGTCTGGGGCTGCTCCTTCTGCCCATGGTTCCCATGAGAATTCCTGTGGGTACTATTGGGTCACTCTCCCCTCCCAGTCTAGCTGCCCAACCTTCCCAGGTCCAGGTTAAACTGGGGCTTTGTTCTTGGGCAGAGTTTCTTTCTGTCTTTCTTCTTCCTCTTCTCTCCCCGCTCCCAGGGTCTTGTTTGCAGCTGCTGTGGTTCACTGTGGCTTGTCTCCCGTGGGGCACGATGGAGTTTGGCCCTCATGGCGAGGTCTTCAAAGGGTGGAGACATGTCTCACTACGGTATTTGGAGGTAGGGCTTTTGGGAAATTGTTGGGATTCAAGTTATTAGGTTCAAGCTCCATGATGGACTCCTGGTGGCTTTGTAAGAAGAGGGAGAGAGCCCAGACACACAGACATGTGTGCTTCTGTCCTTTACCATGTGATGCCCTGTGACACTTTGGGGCTCTGCCAGCAGGAAGGGCATCACCAGGTGACATCTTTCAACCTTTCATCTCCAGAATCATGAGCCCAAATAAACTTTCTTTAATTTACAAAGTAGCATGCCTTGGGTATCATCATAGCAACAAAGTGGACTAACATGGCGACTCTTAATTCCCTGCTGGAGTGACACAGATGCTTGTCCCTGAGGCCAGAGCTTTTCCGTTTGGCTGGAGGGTCTTCTGAATTCCTTTTAAACAAGCCTTTCATAGCATTTTAGGCATGTCATTCACAACCAAGATATCTGTGTCAGTGAATCGACTGTTGTGTGATGGAACGGGCTTGCTCACTGGCCCACTGCACCTCTTTGTAGAGTGGCATTGGAGTGGGGTCTTGATGGCAGGTCTCTGTGCAAGGAGACAACAGATTCCGATTCCATTTCCTCAGTGGTTACAAAGGTTGGGAACAATGCAGGAGTTAGAGACCAGATATGCAGAAATTCAACAGCAACTCTTGCAAGATTTTTTTCTCTTTGGGTCATGATTTGCAAAGGCACAAGGAGAGACCGGTTCAGTTGGAGGTTCATATATTTTCCATTAATACGACAACCCAAACGAAATAACATGGAAGTTTCATGCAGCAAACACTTCGGAGCCCTGCTAGGGCCAGGCAATTCTGGGTGGTTGACGATGTGACGCTATGTGCCATATGCCCATGACAGTTGGTGACACAGGCCAGGTACCCTTCTCAGGTATTGCAAATGTGAATGCAGTTTCCCCTCTTGACACCCTGGGAGGCAGGAGCTACTGCTGTCATCACTTGGCAGGTGAGGAAGCTGGGGAGGGAAACAATTTGCCTGAGGTCACGCTGCAGTCAAGGGGTGGGGCTGACAGTGGGACCATGCCCCATTGCCGTGTGGTCCTGCTTCCTGGCTGTCCATCACCTCCTCTAGGAACCAGCTCCTACTTCTTCCTTCCTCTCTGTTCGTTTGGTCTTTTTAGGAGATGCAGGACCGTGAGAAGAGATGAGGAAGGAATGGAAGGGAAAGAAGAGGTGCAAGGGAGAGGGTAGCCGCCAGGGTTCGGGGCATCGCTGGGCAGCTGTCTCATATGGCAAGTGGACGAAGAGAGAGAGGCAACTGCGCCCTGTGAGCTCTGTGTGGCTGGAT